TGTGTGTGTGAATAATGTAGTAATATAATATAAATTTGTGTAAAATAAATTTGTTCTTTGTTCCCAAGAAAACTAATTTTGAAAAAATTAATTATTAGCAAAATAATGTCTTTATACTTTGTGTGCATATATGATATTTAATCGTTTATGACAGAGTTGGGATTTAGGGCGGAATTCATAATCAGATCTTATATTGATCGTCCTAAGTACAGTCTTAAGAAGTCACGAACCAATCACCATATTAGCGTCTTAAGACATTACCCAATAGTTACACATTTCGGCCAATTTTCAACTTGGTTTTTACTCCTTACTTCACTGGTTTTTGATATTACAACAAATTATTTGATTTGTTTTTATGGAAGTTACAGAAATTCTGTTTGTGTCCGTTATCAATTATACTTTAGTAGATGTACGAATATAAGTGATATATAATGTCAAGCAACTATTATATTTGTTCCTTTTACAGTGGTAACTATCTGGTAAGGGTCCATGCCCAGGTAATGACAAGAGATGATAGTTCTGGTGGTTGGGTTCCTTTGAGTGGAGGTGGATTGGCAAATGTTTCAGTCAGACGTAGAGTCATTCCCTCAGGAATACATCAAATAAACAATACCAATGGAATCACTATTCCTACTACGACCAATCCTACGCATTCTGTTTCCAATACAGCAGTTGGTCTTCAAAACCATGGATCTTCTAATATGTCACCACCTGGCACGAATAAAAAAAAACATGAATATCTTATTTATGGAAAACGCATCACCGACCAATCGGTAGGTCTCGCAATTTTATTATCTTATTATTTAAATATTTACTTCAGGAGGATATAATAAACGCTATAGCAGTTACACTTAATATAATTTGAAATCATAATATATGTTGCAAAAAATGTAACATGAATTCACCAATATTATATTCATTATAAATAATTTGTATGAAAATAAATCTTTTTTTAGGTTGTTCTTAGTTGTACAATTAAAAAAGATTTCGAATATAATAAGGTAATGCCAACTTTTCATCACTGGCGGACAGGGGAAAAAAAGTTTGGTTTAACATTTCAAACAGCTGCTGATGCAAGAGCATTTGACAAAGGCGTTCGAACAGCAGTTGAAGAACTATTGGAAGGTACAGCATTTTCCTAAAAAAATCAAAAGAGTATGATTTACAGGAATGATTGACATAAGAATAAAATAATTGACATAATGTTGACATTAGAAAATTGCATTCATAATGTGTTGGTGTTAAATTTTCAAGTTATGGTATCGATAATTTGATTTTAGTTCTTTTCATATTTTATTTTTTTCTTTTTGCAAAATCATGTCCTTATCTTGTTTTAAATGAAAGAATATATACAGCCAACAAAGAAACAATATTGTTATATAGTAAACATAGGAATTTTTCTACAGAGTAGGTAATTACTGTATTTTTTATCATTTTTTTCTGTATGTGGACATTAACTTTTATTCATTGTTTTTTAATATTAAAGTGTTATAGACATTGAATAATAAAATATCAAAATCATTGATATATATTATCACGTAATAATTTTATAGTAAGTATTATAAGGTTTCTTTTTTTGTGTCTTATTAATTCGTTTGCTAATCATTTTGCTGCATTTATTACGGATTGTGGAAATGGTAAGCTTAATAGCCTCAAATTCATGTCTTATTTTTTTTCCTTTTTGATGTAATTTTATTGTGAAATTTTATGTTTTAATGTACTAGGTCTGTCTGATTTGACGTTAACTACTGATGTTCCAGACGCTGGGGATGAAGATGTTTTCATGGTAAAAAATTTTATTGTTTCTATATTTATTAATTTTTTATTAATTTTAATTTAAAAGAGATATTAATTATAATAAAATATACAAGTCACAGTAAAATTAAGCTGGAAGAAAAACTAGAGCAACAAAGTTTTTACTGGAATTATTAAAATTTACAGACTCTGAATTTACCAGTAGAACCACCTGAGCCACGTTCATCTTCGGATACACCTCTTGGAATTCGAGTGTCCAGTTATTCTCAATATTCGGAGCTTCCTGACTCGCACCGATCTATCCATTACATTAGTAGTTCTTCCATTAAAGCCCCATCGTCACAACATCCTCTGGCTTCTACCACAGATATTGGATCAGATAATTATCCTTATGTGCAGCTTACAACACTTAATCATGAATATCTATATCCTATCATCGATGATCACAAGGGTGAAAGATTAGATGGACACAATACTTCCAATAGTGGAAGCTCTCTAAAGAAGCCAGATACAATAATATCACAACCTTCGAAAAATACTGTGAGACGTAATGTGCAAACGTTACGTTGTAAACATTGTCAAGAACTGTATTCAGAGCAACATAATCCAAAAGGTTCCTGCGAATATGCCCCTGATCCAATTAGACGTGGAATTGAAACAATTTCTTGTTTGTCATGTGCCCAATGTATGTTATATCACTGCATGAGTGACGCCGAAGGTGATTTTGCACAAAATCCTTGTAGGTACGTATAATATTGTGATTGTATAGCCAGATATTTATATTTTTTTAACTCTATTATTATACTATTCTTACTTATATATTTAACATATATTTGTACTTATATTATTATTTTCTTCAATTGTTTTGCATTGTTTTGTATGATAAAAGTTCGGATTTTTTAGAAATTTATTGTATTTTTTATATTTGTTGCAAAAAAAACATTAAAGGCCGGTTGTTCTATCTTTCGGTAAATTTTATCTGTTGGGTAAGTAGCAAGATTATCCAATCACATGCGTGGATTACCAGATTTACCTCACAAGTAAAATTTACCAAAAGGTGGAACAACCGGTCCTAAATCAGTTTTTTTTTTTTTAAGATATATTTGGATGTATACTACATCTTAAATTTTACGTTAGTATTTATCATTATAAAATATTTTTTTTATAATGCAATTTAATCGATTAATATTTTATATATAACATTGGAGTAAATTACAAAATATCAAATCAGTTGTAGTGCAGAAGAAGGATGCGGACGCAGATGGCTTGGTTTGGCCTTGTTGTCATTGATCGTTCCTTGCTTGTGGATATATCCTCCACTTAAAGCTGTACATTGGTGCGGAATGTTCTGTGGAATATGCGGCGGGCGTCACCATCCTATGGAATAACTGGAAGAACCCTTTGATGTCTCTGCTCCATATTCGATTGGTTCAAGCAACTTTTCTGCGTCGTATGGTGCAGTCGCCAATGAATATTATGATTTGAGTATGGATCGCTGTCAGAGGTATCAAAGGGGTAGACAGTTTCCAGTGCACGCACTTATTCATCAGAGTCATCTTTAAGAAAAAAATTGATCAGTTAGATAAGACCCAATTTAGTATACAGGATGTCATAATCTCAATATTCCATACATTTTATATATTTTATTAGAGCAAAGTGCATTATTTAATCTCACATGTACATTGGACAATTTGGATGAAATCAACTAGTATTTACACAGTTTGAATAATTGATCTGTGGAAATCACAGCAAATGGACTCAGACCAACTATTTGTGATATGTGGTGCACATTGTGAGTGTAGCTTTTGTGAGTAAACACGAAAGAAATTTTTTAATTCTCAGTTTGAGTGATGTTTGCTTTATGATATCCAACGATACGCGTCCAATGGAAAAATAAATAAGGTGACTTAGAATATGTCTTGATGGGATTATCAATATGGAAAATGTAAAGATATATCGTGATTATTAGATCTGATTTAAATTGCCGAATCAATAAGCCAATCCTTTCCAATTTATTTTCATGTTTTTTCATGTGATATAAATGTGTATTCACTTCATCAATTGTTTTGGTTTTTTTTAATTAACAATATGAACAAAAATTGACAAATTTAATAATATTGGTTGGGAAAAAAGTTTCCTCGTATTTTTATGCAAAAGTTTTTTTATTTTTTGCGAAATTTTCGTGACAATTATATTATTCGCTAGTGTAAAGTTTCAGCTTTAAGAATCTGTTTTTTTAATTGCAGTATGATATGATTTTTATCGGAGTTATGAGCAATCAGTCAGAATGCTCCTTAATTCGCGAATAACTCAAGAACAAACTCAAGAAAAAAATCATAGGTATATTTAAAAAAAAAAATGATTTTATAAGGAAAAAAAAGCTTCAAGCTTTCATGATAGGTAATCGAAAATTTTCGTAAATTTTTTTTGGGCACGTGAAAGACTTCCAAAATAAAAAGAAATTTTTTCATCTTTTTCAACTCGTTTCTTATATGTAAAAATTACCAAATTCACAGAAATTAAAAAAATATAGTAACCTTTCGAAAGTAGAGATTTAAAGCTTTAAAATCTTTTTTTTTTTTTTAATTTAAATTTTATTCATTTTTGACGAAGATACAAAATGGTTGGATACAACAGAGCAATAGGAGTTAAGCACGATAATTCTTATACAAACCAAACGGTTAACACAACAAATTAATAATTAATCCGCTTACATGTTTCGGTTCACTTTTGAGCCATCTTCAGACAGTATAATGTTGTAATTACAAAAAAAATTTTTTTCTTACAAACTAATTCATTTTAGTAAGCCACCTCCACCTATTAATAATTGAGCCGAAACATGTAAGCGGATTAATGATTAATAAAGTTGTTTTGTTAACCATTCGGTTTGCACAAGAATTACCGTGCTTGACTCCTATTGCCCTGTTGTCTCTAACCATTTTGTATCATTAAGGAGTCTTTAGGAATTAATTTATATTTAACGAAGAGAGAGAGAGATATTGTATATACAATTTTGAATTTAAAAAAAACGAAGAAACTTTCTCCCCAACCCATTATATTGAAAGACAGATATAAGATTTATCTTTCTTTTTTTTTTCTAACATTTATCTTTCATCATTTTGCCATTTCAAAAAATTAATGCACATTATACTTTGACGTATTGGTTATAAAAATATTTAATCTATTTTATTTAAAGAAACTTTAAATTCAGGTTCTAATGATTAAATCGAAGAAAGTAAACAAGCCTATCTAAGCCGATGTACAATCTTTGTTACAATAAAGTTGCAAATGAAGGTTTTAATATTGGGATACAACATTTAATATTGAGATTTCGTTAAATGTATAGAACATAATTTTACGAGACTAAAGTTTTTTAATACAAAAGAAATGAGAAATAAAGTTGTTCCATTAATAAAACTAATAAAAATCACACATAAAGATATAACAAATGTAAAGAGGATAATTCTCTTCTTTCCAAAACAAAAACGTTTGTAAAAAATAATCCACAGCTTTTGTTCGCACATGTCAATAAAGGCAACGTAGTAGTGGCCCTTGACAGAACAGATTTCATACAGAAAATGGAGGCATTATTTGCAGATCCTGAGACGTATACGAATTTGAAACGTAATTCCGTAAACAAGGTAATCACTGAGTTAAAGGCAAAAGTTTCTGAAAAGTTGGAAGCATTGTGGACTTGTATCGGATTCTTGCTATAAATACTTAAAGTGTACCAATGCTACCTCATGTTTATATGATACACAAAGCTAAATATCCGCTTCGTGTCATTGTTTCGTCTATTGGAAATCCCCTTAACAATTTAGCATCTATATTGCATAAAATAATTCAAAATAGTCTACCGCCGGCTGACAATTTCAACGATAACAATTTCCAATTGAAATTAAAAATATTTCTAATATGACAATTTTAGAGAATGCTTTGCTTTCATCTCTAGATGTGGTATCACTTCACTAATATACTGATTGATCTAGTTTTAGAAAGTTTTTTTTTATCTCAAAATGGTTATTGAACTTTTATTGAGCGAAATACTGACATTACGAAGACGGACTTTTTTAAAGGCAGTTAACTTAATTCTAAATTCTGTATATTTTGTTTTAACAAGTTTTATAAACAGACATATGGAGTACCTATGGGTTCACTATTATCCTCTATAGTAGTTGACATTGTGATGCAAGATTGAAATTATGTGTATTAAAAAAACTTTCTGTGTTGCTCCATTTTTTATGTAAGATATGTAGACGATATTGTTTTTCTCTTGACAATATCTATATAAATGAACTCTTAGATGATCTTAATTCTTACCACCCTAGATTTAAATCTACTGTAGAAGTAAAAGATGACTCTAGATTGAATTTTTTGGATGTCTGCTTGATTAAAAAAGATAATATCTTTATTCGTGATTTATATCAAAAATTTACATTCTCAGGTAGATTTTTTAATTTTTACTCGTGGCTACGCTCTCTGCTAAAAAGTAGAAACAATGATAAGTTTAATAGACAGTTCTTTTCCTCTTCCATCCTAACTTCCATCAAAAAAATTTGAATTTAGTTATGAAAATTCTTTTAAACAATGGTTACCTATTAAACTTGATATTTTCTACCATTATAGAAAGATTACATAACAAACTCGAACAATTGAATCATATAAAATACATTGAGGGTAAGATTGTAAAAAATATGAACAAAAAGTTTTTTTTACTGTACCTTTTATTCCTACCATACAAAGAAAAATTTAGAATTTTTTCAATAATAATGCCTACATAAGAATGGCTTATAAGGGCATCAACGAATTGAGTAAATTTATTAAGTTTAAAAAGACTCTCTAATTGGTCAGATTCCAGCGTTGTCTATGAGATTGCAAAGATTATAATGTAACATAATGTAGGACAGACGAGAAGTCTAAAATCGCGTATCATTGAGCACAGAAATCACATTAATTGGTACACGATTCAACATTCAGTGATTACAGAATCGAAGCATCACATGATTTTGATTAGAATAACAAAAAGTTTAGATGAAGAGAATATTCTTAACAAAAGATTAATTTCAGAGATGATCCATATTAAAAAACAAAAACATAGTTTAAATTTACAGAATGACACATCATCTCTAGATCCGCTTTATGAGAATTTATTTACAATGATATAATGTTTCCTTCTTGTTTGCTTTTGTATATATTTTCGACATTCGAGATAATTTCTCACTTAGTGTCTGATGAGCGAGCCATAAATAATTTGGATATTCTTTTGATTTCATGTAAATTTTCAAAATTTTATTAATGTAATTTGTCTAATTTATTTTAATTTATATTATACAGTAAATTTGACAATTTAATGAATACTACTAGTCATACAGCCATTGGTCTGCTCATCACAGTGATTCTATATAAGCTGTATAACGTGTGTTCACTCAGTATTAACTTAGAATATATTCAATGACCAACAATTCATTGATTTACTTAGCGGATCGGGCAATTCAATGCTTAAGAATTACTGGCAGATGTACTCACGTTGACCACATATAACCTGGCAATAACTTGCGATCAGTATGCAATTAAGTCATATTTAGGTTTAATATTGTTTATTATTTATTAATAGTGTATTATTGTTACTGAAGAGAATCCAAACCAAGGATCGAAAAGTTTTACTTTTATTAAATAAACGAAAAATTTGCATCTCTATACATCCTGTTGCTGGCTCTAATAGGCTTGTTTACTTTCTTTAATTTAATCTATTTTATTTAGAAGATATTTTCTTGTTTTCTCTCAAGTTGTATCTCTTTAAAGATATCTTCATATAAAATTAATAAAAGAAAAAATGAAAAGAAAGATTACTATCAAGCAGTAATATATTTATATAGTAATTTGAACATTTTATTTTGAATAATAAATTTTAACGTTATTGTTTTGACAGTATTTGTAAGTAATAGCATTATACTTGTGTTATAATGAAAAATGTACAATATGCGTATGTATGCGCGCGCGCGCGCGCGTGTGTGTGTGTGTGTGTGTGTGTGTGTAAAGGAGAGAGGATAATGTATATTGTATGTGAGAAATGTAGTATTTTGAAAATTAGAGAAATTTTTTTATATATATTTGAGATCATAGTGTTTATTTCATGCAATTATTTAAAAATTATTATTAAAGTATTTTTTAATTAAGTCATGTACAATCTCCAATTACCTGCTTGTATTATTAAAATTAATGTGACAACATTGTAAAAATATACCAAGAAACATTGACATTGAAAGTTGTAAAATATCTTTTAAATTACATTGAAAAATCAATGTACTTTTAGATGTGTATAAAAACAGCATTCTACACATAAATAGATTAACTATTTTATATTAATTAATAGTAATTTTATTTATAGCAGAATTAATTTAGTTTTTAAAATTTTTATAAATAAATTTGCAACAATTAGTTTCTTAATATGATTGTTTTAAAGAAAATATTAAAATGCCTTTAATGCTAAATTGTTAAAGACTGAAAATTAGCCGCTTTATGAATAAATGACAAAATACATGTGAAACCCTTTCGATTTATAAATTTCTCATAACGTAATTATGCTGTTCGGTTAATTTAGTTATTATATTTTTTCAAACTTATTAGATATTTGTTTTTTCTCGGATTTTCCGGATACAGCAATATAGACACATGCCGGGTGTTTCATACACGTTCGGATAGGCCGGCTACTCGCAAAAATAACTCTGCTACATATACACTATACGTTCGTATGAAACTTGGATGTCGGTATGCAAAACATGATAGAATCGGTATATAGTCGGTATGCAAAACATGATATACGGCGGATCATATCTGATAAGGTGGGTAGAAAACTATAAGTGATCTATGTAAAATTCCGTATATATTCATATAGAGCATATATTCATATAGCACAAAACACCTGAATATGCATATTTAATACGATAGAGTCAAATGAAATTCATACCAAACTGTATCGAAAACTATAGACGAAGATCTTCAGAAATGGAAAAACATATACAATACTATAGAAATAGCCAATTTTTCGGTCATTTGTACTGAAAGTCATATGTGATACGTTAGAATCGTCGATATACTCTTTCGTAATCTATCCGTTTCTTTCGATTTTTTTAACCTGGGTGCTCAAGCAAATGATCACACAAATTAATTTTAAATAGTACTATTTATTATAAAATATATTTATGATATACTTACACAAATATTGACACATTTAATTAAATTAACTTAGAACAAAATTTGTTAATGCGAAGTGGGGGTATGTCCATCCACATAAAAATTTCTAGTTGCCTTAGGTAATTCTAGCTCTATGCCATCTAATTCCTTCTTCAAAATTATTTGACAACCTAGAAACAACATAAATAAGAGTTATTCATATTTGTAGAATTATACATGTTAAAGCTGTGTTATTAGAAGTATGCATTAATTTTAAAGGATTTTTTAGTAAAAAAATATGGCTTTGTTGTCTTCAAACGTCTGGAAATCATTGATCGATCAACATTTAATGATTCTGCAAGTTTTTCTTGCGTTTGATTCAGATCTTGATCGAGTAAAGCTTCCACTTCCTCATCTTCAAACTTTTTCGGCTGGCCTGGACGGTCCTTGTCTTCCATGTCAAAATCATCTTTTTTATAGCGTCGAAATCAGTACTCACTGTTGAAATCGATGTAGTATAATCACCATAATCTTCCGACAGTATTCGTTGACTTTCAGCAGCACTTTTCTTCAAATGGAAGCAAAAAAGCAAAGTTTCCCGCGAATTGCGTTTTGTTGGTACAAAATTCGACATATTCAATGCTAAAAAAAAAAATCAATTTTCAATTCGGTACAATGACACATACGGAAAACTAAAGCCACATGATGGTGCTTTTAACGTGAAGGTAGTATGGCCCGATGCGATAGTATTAGTTACGCCATTTCTTGAAAATCCTTTAAAATTAATGCATACTCCTAATATTTCTCATAATTATATCGAGTAATATTACAAACTAAAAATCAAGAAAAAGAATCGTTTTTTATATTATCCTTGTAAATGTAATAAATTAGACTAACAAAGGAAAATCCCAATCCGTAAATTCAAAAAATAATGAAACTGACAATACATAAGGGATATCTTGGTATAGAATATTTTGGGGGGATAAATATTATCTAGAAGTTGTTTTTCTATATTTATTTATTCATTATTTTTTATCAACAAAAGGAAATGGAGCAAAATTTTGATTGTAATTTCACCATTTTAAACAGTTTTTTTCCACTCCCTAACATGAACGCACAAATTGTAGCGGCAGCATTTGTGGACTGCTGGGTAGCAAGATTTGGCATACCCGCCATTATTACGACTGATCAGGGAAAACAATTTGAAGCCAGCCTTTTTCAAGCTCTTTCGAGACTGTTGGGCAGCAGAAAAATGAAAACTTCCCCATATCAACTTCAAACAGCCTAATCGAGAGGTAAGCATTAAAAACAGCTATAAGTTGTCAAAAAACCGGCAACAATGGCTGGACGTTCTATCATTGGTACTTCTGGGCCTTCACACTTGCATCAAGGAAGACTTAAAATGCTCCCCTACAGAATTGGTTTATGGTGCTCCATTGAGGGTACTTGGAGTTTCTCGAAAATATGGACCCTACAGAGGGCACGGAAACATTTGTCATGGCGTTACACAGATGCATTCGTTAATTCCGTCCACAAACACCAACTCATCATGAAAAACAAACAGCCTTCAGACAGCAGTAACTGACATAAAACCACGCATGTTTTCGTTAGAGAGGATGGCGTCCGGTAGCCACTCCAACATCCCTACATCGGGTCGCACGAAGTAGTCCGCAGGGAAAATGAGCACCTGTATATTGTGCGCATAAATGGTCGAGACATCGCCTTGTCAATGGAAAAACTAAAACCTGCTTACCTACCTCACGCCGACGACGTACCTGAACGACTGGCCTTCATTTGGACACGTTACAATTGGACACGTTGCAATTGGACACATTGCAAATGGACACGTTATATTGGACGTGTATCACTTGGACACGTTAATATTAGACACGTATCACTTGGACACGTAAATATTGGACTAATCTTAATCCTAACCCTAACCTAACCTAGGGTCCTATATTAACGTGTCCAAGTGATACGTGTCCAATATTAACGCATCCAATATAACGTGTCCATTTGCAACGTATCCAATTGCAACGTGTCTAATTGTAACGTGTCCAAATGAACCTCTCCCACCTGAACCGCCACAGGAGGGAACATTAGAGAACATTATCGCGACAAGCTGTAAACATAAGAAACCCTGTAATAAAGAAAAAAAAATAAAATTCGCGTCTATTCATACATAGCCACTTGGGCGAGGAGTATATGTGGGGATCTGCTTACACTCTTCCACACATACTCACACTTTCACATCCATAAACAGCTATACTCTCTTACATTCACATACCTCACACTAGGTAGCGCGCATACACTGACACCATGTTATAACACGTTTTCTCACATTTACACTCACTGTTCTTTTCTAAAATCTTCTCGATTGTTTTTCGAACTAGTCGCGTTCCTCATCTACTAAAAGAATTTTTATGTATTATTATTAATAAAGAAATTATATTGCGTATCTCTAGTTCAGTCTTGTTTCAATCTTCGTGTAGTAACCGCTATAGTTTGATATTTATTGAAAGCGAAAAAAGAGAGTTCTATAGCGCAGTTTAGTGTAGAAATAAAAATCTAATGATTGCAGTGAAGGCAATTGCAAAAATGTTACAAACACACCCCAAACAGAAACCTTACAATGCACAAACTACTGGCATAACTAGATTTTCTTACGATACGGAAATTTACCTTTGGGATGCCCCTTTATCTTGCAATTAGTTTTAAATTTAAAGAGAAGTAATAAAGATTGATATACCTAGCCTAGAATTTTCCTTCAAGAAAGGTGCTAAATCCAAAAGATCTTCTTCTCTTTCATCAGGAGTTGAAAGTTTATCCACATAGTCATGATGTACATATACATGACAAGTTGTACATGCCAAACTGGCTTCGCATGCACCTTCAATATCAATTTCATGTCTATGAGCCAAATAGAGTACATTGTCTCCTACTTTTCCTTTTATTTTAACTTTCTTGCCTGTTTTATCAATAAAAGTGACGTTAACTCTGGAAAGCAATCACAATAAAGTAATTTTTACTGATCGTTATAAAATCATTAACTTAACTTTTAATGCCCACAATGTAATATAATAATATTGACATTATGTAATAGAATCGATAATAAAGATTTATCTAATTCAACATTAATGTACACCCGTCCCTCAATTTACACGGATTATCCGTTCCATGCGATTTTTTTACGCGGAAAAAACCGCGTAAAAGAACCCATCAATGTGAAAAAAATTTTTTAAGAAAAAACACATAAGTAAGTTATAGAAATATATATTTCATATATTTTCACAGAGGAACCTTAAGCCTCCTGAGTAATCATCACAGCCATATTGAATCGTGACGTCAGAAGCGAGAAATGACATGTTAATTTTTATTACATGTCATTTATAAATAAAGACAATTTGGGTAAAACGAAATAATGAGATTGTTTTAAAACATTTGTAAAAATGGACGAAAACTATAGGCATGTGTAAGTGAAAATAAGCTACGCATGCGCATTGAATAAAAGCATTTCATGTGTCTTATCACTTTTTATGATTATTTCCTGACTGTCAGGGAAGAGAGAGAGAGATAGTTTTCGTCCATTTTGAATGCAAGAGATCCGGGTTCGACTCCCGGCCGAGGCAATATTTTTCGCAATAAGAATTAATTATTTACAGATTTTAATATGTCATTCAACATTATTAAGAAGATGCGAATAAACATTAAAAATTTGTTAAATTGCTAGTTAATTTACGTTTCATCCAAATTGTAGAGTTCTAAGAAAATTATCTATTTTATAAATCTTACATGAAGCAAGAATACATTTATTTTACCTACATATCAGCCTCAGTTTTAGGATCCTGCATTTCGTATTCACCATGAAACATAACTGCAAAAAATATTTTTAAAGTTTTATTCATTCAATACATAAGTCAACAAGTTTGTATGTATATGCTATCTAACAAAAGAAAAACATCAGTGATAGTAGATTTAGAACAGATACAGGATATTCTTTTTTCTAATTGGCCCATCAAATGCTTCAAGGCATTTGTAGCGAGGCTTTGACCACAGCCCAAGTAGCAATTGATAATTTTTTAACATGATATAACTAACCTTTAGATGTATGAATTTTGTGATTAGATAGCTTAATCAAATGGCTTATTGGAGTACACATTCTTTGCTTTGTATAGAATAGATGTAGCTGCCGTAGAACAAACATCATTTTTAACACAATATTTCGTACAAGATATTGAAGCACCTTAAAACCGAATTAACGGCGACATTTAAAAACATCACTCGGGTCCCGAATAGAGCAAAGCATACAATACACAAGTAAAATGTTGGTTATGCAGGTTATGCTGCACCGTAAAGAGAAATCTGAGAGTAAAAAGGATTAAATAGAGCGGAACACTAGAGGCCAAGATACCAGAAATGCCACATGGCGTCGGTTAGGTTAGGTCGTCATCGCCATTTTAATTCAGTATAAGTACTTATAGCCATAAAGTGCCTTTTCATGCTGACGCTCGACGCTCGTTTTCAGCTATTTCCAGCGTCAAAATAAATCACAAGATAAAAAATAGGCTCGTTCTTTTTGACTGAACTTTTGCACCAGTTCATCTTTCTTCCTTTTCTCTTTAGGAGGAAAGAAGAGGAAAAAAGATGAACTGGTGCAAAAGTTCAGCAAAAAAGAACAAGCCAAGTTACGTGACTTATTTTGACGCCTAAAATGAGCGTCGAGCGTCGGCATGAAAAGGCATCTTTATAAGCTAATGACAGCTGATGCATTACATGAGGAAAGTTAAATTGTTAGAAAAAGAAGAAAATATAGCACGTACTTATAGTATGTACAATCAGAAGCAATGAGGTTGCGACACTTTTTTTCGATGGGTTTCGGAATACAGCCTACTCACCAAGCGATTGGTTCTTATTTGTCGATCCATGAATAAGAACCAATAGGTGCATTCAATACTACAACCGCTCACTGAGCGCTCATTTTGCCTCTGTGAGATTTCCTAATCTCAATAGTCATCAACTTTAAGTCCGGATCTACAATAGGTGTTTTAAGCTTAAGCCGTAAGAAATTGACCAATTACAGTCGAATCCGAAAAGAATAAGCGACTGTGATTCGCCCATTTCTCTATTGTAGATCTCTCTATTGTAGATCCGGACTTAAGATTTTAGTTGGGTAAGGGCCTGAGCACAATAGAGGAACAGGAATTAGATATTAAGATTTTAACCTATCAGAAACTGATTACATCGGAATACACGGTTTCTGATAGGTTGAAATCTTAATATCTAATTCTTGTTCCTCTATTGTGCGCAGGCCCTTATGCTATTCTAAATAATTACCCTATTAGTACTTTATGATTGGTTGAATTTTGTTCCGCTGCCGCATGAACCGTTTAATGTGACATCAGACTTAAGATCACTGTTGCGGACTTTTGTGTGCGCCAGCCTAACGTCACACCGCCACACGCACTGCACAAGCACGTAAAGCCGGCGGCACACGATGCTTGTTTTCCTGCTGGACTTCTAACTAGATTAAAATCTTACCACCGTATTGGCTGCGGTGCTATCGGTATCAGCATCGCAGCCAATACGGTGGCAAGATTTTCATCCCGCTAGCAATCCAACAGAAAAACAAGCATCGTGTGGCGCAGGCTTTACCGAGCATGATAGCATCTAGCCTGTGATATCGATGGTAGCAAGTAGCGGCAGTAACACTAGCCGTACTACCAGCATCATCGAGATCACGAAGATTACTCGCCCCGCGGCCGCTTCGTTCGAGTTACTTAGTTTTGTGCGCGACCTGATTCCAGGAACTTCCTAGTTTTTTCTTTCGTTCCATCGCCGTGCCCGTCCCGAGTGTTCACTCGTCCCCGGAGAATGTGGGCGCGTTAATTATCTCGAGACGGGTTCATTACTCATCTGAATGCGCGTGGTTTCCTCGTCGGTGGGTGGACATCTCGATGTTCGCGTCGGTCACGGCAGCCGGCGAAGAAAACGTATGCCGGGATCGTAAGATTTGTGCGAATTTCGCAGAAACGCGCGTGACAGATTTGGCAACGTCAAGGCTCGACGGTAGCAGCGACGGAGACGACATTCTCGGATAATCTCGGACGCCACAGGTTCTCCTATGTGCCATCTCCGCGCGGACGTTGCACGATTACGTTTTGAGACACCTGGGACTGCCGCGTGTCACCCCGACAATCATGGACGTTGATTGTCCGATCGTTAGTCTGAAGCGATCCAGCAGCGCGCCGATGATTAACGAGATCAGCGCGACCATGTCCGTTACTACACCCTCGACGTCGTCGTCGAGGTATGTCAATGATTACTCCCCTCCTTTATCCATGGACGTATATCATGGAATGTGACCTGCTTGCAATCTGAATTACTCTAGGTCCAGGATAACGTAAAAATCAATCGTAGCATGTATCAAGACCTAGCGATAAAGTCTGCTGTAGTTGCAGTCTTATAGCGTGTTCGGCCCAACCAGGTTTGTATCAGCTAGGATTGAATTAATGGCATTTTATGTTCTCTTATTGGTAGAGCATTAACGTCAACCAATAATAAATCATTAATTCAACCTAGGTTGATGCAAATCCGATTGAGTCGAAAATGCTGTTAGTAATGATTTTTATTAACGAGTTACTTGCACTTCTTATGTGTGTGTGTGAGTGGGTAATTGAACTGTTACCTGCTCCAACTATTAGCGATCTTGTAAAATTAACAGTGTTGCATGAAGCAATACAGGTGTTGCCTAGCTGAATACAGGTATTGAATGATCAATCCTTTTTTTTAATATATTTTCTTCGAACATAATCTTAAAACTTCTTATCGGAATAATACTAGAAAAATAAATAGTATAAGTGAAATTTTAAAAATTTGATATTTGTAATGTGATGTAAAGTGACAACCTGACAACACAATCAAACACAGCATTTAAGCTGTTTACATTTGTATCGACTTAGTCATAGTTGAAAAGCATGGAATCATACACTGTGTTAGCCTGTGTACATTGTTGAAAAGCACTTAATATTTCTATTATATAGGGTGTCTCTACAGTGTCAAAACTGCTACAACGGCTTCAGCATATGAAAACAAATTGAAAATGTCTAATAAACATATATCCGATTTCGAACGATTTCAGAGTTATGGGATATTGAAGAAAGAAAACGTGAATCGTAGTAAATGTTGTTTAATGTTCGTTGTTCTGTTCTGAATCTTGAGTCTTTTTCTGATAGACTAGTTCTTTCATTCATCCCTAAAATGTAAACAAATACATGTTAAGGATGACATGTCACTGTCAATGACTACTATCCTCATTAGATTGGAAGAGGCCAGGACGCTCCTATTAAATGGCCGGTGAGAAGTCCCGACCTCACACTACTGGATTTTTTTTCTTTGGAGATGAATGAAAGATTTAATCTACCAGAATGAGATTTAGAATGCATAACATTTATGGTACTTAACGCTGTCGATATCATTCGTGAAACTCTAAATATTTGTCATCAAGTCCGAAACTATTATTTCGTGTTAGAGAGTGTGTCGAAGTCGAAGGACGGAGGAATTTTTGAACATTTTTTGTAAAAAATTAAATGAAATAACGAACATTAAATAACGTTTACTATGATTTATGTTTTTTTACTTCAATATCCCGTAACTCCGAAACCGTTCGGACATATGTTTATTAGACATTTTCAACTTGTTTTCATGTGCTAAAGTTTCTATAGCAATTTTGGCACTACATGCAGAGGACATCCTGTATTTATACATATAAATATGTATTTCTATCTATTGGAACGTTTTATTGGAAGCTTTAATTTTTTATATACTTATTTAAAATAAGATTAAGTTAGAAACTATTTCAAAAATGAGAATATACACTGCTAAAAAAAATTATGGCATAGAAAAATATTGGGCAAAAATTGGTTAACTTTGATTGATGATAATTTTGCGAAAAATTATCGTAGGATGACGTTTTTTTTTTAATTAAAGCTTGAAATCTCTATCTTCAGACGTTATGACCAGATTTTAAGTTTGCTGCACCCCTGCCACTGTAATTCAAAATATGAGGATATATTTGTCATATTGAAAATTGCAAAGTTTGACGGAATGCATGGACTTTGTAAATTTTTTGGGGGGAATGCCCCGTTTGCAGCGACATAAAGTTCGAACTTTCCCATTTAATTAAAAAAATAAAAAAAACGATCGTAAACCGGGTACAAACGAAGTACAAACGCGCTACGGTATTAATTTTTATTTTTGTTAAAGTTAGGCGCCAGGTTCACATCGGTCGATAATAGTCTGTTTTTATTTTAAAACTGTCTTAAATATAATGTCTTAAGATGTTAATACAGTCCTTGACTAACGACATCTTAAAACATTATATTTAAGACAGTTTTAAAATAGAAACGGACTATGAACACCGTTCCATGTTTTTTGCGTTTCACAGTTGTAACCCTTGAACCTTATGAACAGTCCATAGGCAAAGAGGGCAGAGATTTAGAGAGAGACACTGTCCAACTGTACACACCATGTGCTTTTATAAGATGCGCAAGATGCCGCCAAAATTATAGTTTTGTGTAATAATTGTATTTTACAAAAGGAAAAAAAAATATCAAAAAAATTCGAGATCGAACCCGCAATGTCGAGGTTACTAATCAAACGCGCTACCGCTGCGTCATGAGCTCTTCGATCAAACGATCTACTAAACTGGCTTATTAGGCGCTCGAAATTTTCAATTTTGATTTGCAAACGCTTGAGTAGTGCGTATTATCCTTTTACCAAGTAACACTTGACATGAATACCTATCGCTACAACGAGTTTCGTTGAAATCGGTTGGTATCACGTCGTGAAGTCTCCTTGTTAGTTAATAATTTTACCTATACACACGAATACATCAAGTATCGAATCTTATTGGGATTATTATAATGTCATGATTTATATTTTTAGAGCCCAAAATCATTCATATTATTTTAATTTATAATTGTTTTAAAGTAATAACATATGTTGTGAAAGATACAGTTCTGTTAGTCGTACCCAATTATAAGTGACTTTAAAGTTTCATTTATTATACATATGCGTTCATCTCTCAACATATTCTCCATCAATATACAGTGGAACTTTCCTAAGTACAGTACTCTGTAACTTCATTCTCCTTCCACATATGTACACGACGTTGTGTATAAAAATTTTCAGTGTTAAAATAGATTATGTTGCGTTAGCATCTGCGTAAACATTCTCACTCTATATGTGTAATAGATAATACATGCTATTTCTTTTTAATGCTCCATCCCTAATGAAAGAATAGGGAGAACCTCCCTAACTTCTCACAGCCCCGCGTAGTAAAAGTTATGGAAGTTCCATTGTATACTGATTATTACGATAAAAATTTCACTTTGAATAGGAAAAGGTACCCGCCTCAAATAGGGCGTTTTTCAACAAGTACACAGTGTATAACACAGTGAATTATTTCATTTTTATCCAATGTTGACAAACAACAAGGATATAATGATTCACTGTGTTACACTGGAAAATGCCCACAGTCAAGTAGTTCGAAACCTGACTGAGATAATATTTTTCGCAATAAATTCTTTGCAGTGTCTTAAGATGCTTATTAACATTATTATTAAATTAACGAATTTAATTTGTGGTATTATTTTAGCTTCAGTTTATGATTACGTTTTAAGTCTAACAGTAATCGGCTTATAATGTATGTAATTAAAGATGTATCTTTTTTTAATTTAACTTACATAGAAGTATTATTAAACACCAAGATCTCCAGCCTTGATCTTTAATTGGCTTCTTCTTTACTTATTTGTATTCTTCACATAGTGGTGTAGCTTAATTTATTGTTAACTTTAATTAATTTTTATCTTACATTGCAAACGTATGGTTCATGTAGTATTTGTTGTAATGAAGATTTGAATTCTGAATTTTTTTAAAGTTATTGAGAGAATCTTTATTGATAATAAGTTTATTAAAAAAATGTTTTCTAATATTTGCAACTGTGCTTAATTGTCTTTAAACATTTATTTTATCACTTGCAGGGACGCTGTGTCAACTTATAATATATTTGCAAATTCAACTCGTCTACGACGTTTTAGTACCAGTGTAAGATCATGTTATCTATTTACTCTCTTACTTTGTATTATTTATTACTCAGCTCAGTATTGATTAAATATTATCTAAGTTTCTCTGTTACTCTGGTAGTAAAATTTGAAATATAATATTTATTTTCTATTTTATAAATAAACAAAAAATTAAATTTACAATAGGTTAGAAAAAGTGTAACATTTCATTTTGTAATGCTATAATTCTTTGATCAACTTATTTGACTGATACTGGGAGCTTTTCAACAAGAGACATAACAGATGACATAATGTAACACAGTGAATCATTACATCCTTGCTGCTTGCCAATGTTGAGAATAAAGATGAAATTATTACTATCTTATATAGAGTCGCTTGTTGGAAAGCTCCCACTGTACTTTATCTTATGTTTTTTTTTATTAAAAACTATATAAGATACAAGGCTTCAATGAAATAAATCAAATTAAACAAATGAAAAGCCAGTGTCGGCCAGTGAGTCGACACTGATTATTCTTGTATAATAAATTATATTTAAATAATGAAATTACAAGACATTTCGATCCTTAATTTGGATCCTCTTCATTACAGAAATATAATAAACGTTAGAGTATAATGCTTTTTCACTGATAGGCATTGTTAATAAAGCAAAACGTATTGTTGGCAAAACAATAATGCGCACAATTAAATCAAGATGTGTGCTATATGACATACTGCATACTGTAAGCTTGTGAGAGATGGTCACTGACTACGTTTATATACGGGGTGTCCAGAAAATCGCCCTGAAATATTTCGGAAAGTGATTCGGGATCCAAAAAGAAAAAAAGCTATATGAACATAGATCCGGAAATAAGTCGTTTCTGAGTTATAAGCACTTTTATGTTAAAAAAATTGTAATTTATTTTTCATAATCACAATCATAATTTATTTCGATGTTTTAACATAAATAACTACATTCTGGACTATTTTGGCGTTACCCAGGATGCAGCATGGAGGCATAATCCGCTTGGCATCCCTCTTTTATTTTTTCTATTAAAAAATTTTTTTACTTTACTAGAGGAATGCCAAGCAGATTATGCCTCCGCGTGGTGCATTCTGACTAACGCCAAAATAATCCGAAAAATGTAGTCATGTATGAAATAAATTATGATTGTGTTTATGAAAAAAAATAAAAATTACAATTTTTTTTTAAACAAAAGTGGTTACAACTCGGAAACTACTTATTTCCGGATCTATATTTATATAGCTTTTTCCCCTTCTTTTTAGGTCCCGAATCACTTCCCGAAGTATTGCGGGTGATTTTCCGGATACCCTGTATACATAATAATAGATAAAACATAGAAACACAATCAAGAATTTGTAAATAAGTCATAATATAATAGATCCAACATTTGGATGAAGAAAAATCTCTTAATAAAGATTAATTTCAGAAATTATTTTTATTCAAAGACAAAAGAGAGGATTAAATTTGCAAAACTACACAGACTTGTTGAATCCGTTGTGGATTACGACTTATTTACACAAATTCTTGATTGTTTCTGGGTCTGTTGTCTGTGGCTGAACCAGTGTACACTTTTGGAACTTAAAGTGAAATAAGTATATGTTTGAGATTTGTCGAAAGTGAGAAAGAGATTTCTAGTGCAGTCTAGTGCAGGAACAGAAAACAGACCATATATTTCATCTATTATTCCGTATATATGTATAAACATAATCATTGTCCGAAGATCTCTCATAAACTTATAGTATATCATACAGTATGTATCTTAATCTAATTGTGCGCATTATTGTCTTGCTATTACTTTATTAATGTGTAAGTCGAGATTTAATCTTATATTTTGACTACAATAATTTACTCTGTTTCTAATATTTTAGCTTAATATTCAACACCGCTTACATATATTGTTAAATATTAAAGACATTGTACATTTGACTTTTTATATGTGGACAATAGCTTAACAATATCTGTCAGTGAAAAAGCGCCTTATTCTCTAATTTTGTAACATTTATTATATTTTTGTACCAAAGAGGACCCAAATTAGAAATCGAAACGTCTTGTAATTTCGTTATTTAAATATAATTTATTAAATTATTACACAAAAACAAGTATTGGCTCACTTTTCATTTGTTTAATTTTTATCTACTTTTTTTACTTTTAGAGCCCTGGTAATGTTCCTAGATTGACACCACGCGTGAGTCAGTTAAGACAGGAAGAATGTGTGGATGTCGCTGGCCGGGAGGCAGCACACGAGAAGGAAATTCATAGTGCCATGCAGATATCGCAATCATGGGAGGATCTCACTTTGGAGGCGGAAGGATTATCATTCAAGGATTCAGAGTCTCCTACGCAGCTTAACAAAGTAGAACGACCGAAGAGGCCATTGGATCCTCTAAGTTTAAATCTGTCTATCACCGGTTCACCGCTGTGTTCTTCACCTTCCCCTACAAGATCTGGATTTAATCAAAGACAGTGTTACTCTCCTGGTATTCATATCTGGAAGAACAATTTGTCTCCTAGTCCTACTAGAAAGGCATTTGCCACGAGGTAAAGCTTGTTCAGAACATAAATGTATCTCGTCTAAAGTTGTTACATAAAATTTATGTATGGTCATACTTAAAAAGAAAAAATGATTAATGCAGTTTATGTTATTTTTTTCATTGTTTATTATTTTCTGCTAATATTTCATGAAATACAGGCGCAGTTTGAGTCCTATCGCGATAAGGCCAAGCTGTTTAGGGCCAGTCAAAAGAAAATTCGAATTAGACGAGGCTGGAATGGATCACAGTTTACAACCACCTGTAAAACGCACTTCTGGTTTATTAACGTCAGTTGCATCCAGGTTGCGTATATTTTTACAACAATTCTCTGTATATATTACATTTAAATATGATAAAATTATCAAAGTAATAATTTTTTAAGTATAAAAGAAACGATTAAAGATTTGTTTTTTATTCTTGTATTCTTCAAACTGATGCACACGATGCATTAAGTAAAAGTGAAACAAACATGTATTTACTTCACTGCAGGAATAAAAAATAGATTTAATATGTGTGTATCCCTATAATATGGTTTCTTTAATTCAATAATGTCTTCGCAGATTGGATGCTCTGTCCAGCCCACTTCCTGGAACTATCAGTTCCGTGGGCACACCCGAATCGTTATCGAGCGCGGATTCACCTAGTTTCTCTTTCCGGCCGGTGGATAGTCCATCACCAGTTCGTGTAAATCCGAACAGCGACAGCGAATCTTTATCAGACGTGAGCAATCAAAGCAAATTGATGGATCAAATACGTGCCGATCAGATCAGTCAGGATAATCACAGATGAACATGAGAAATTGTCGGACACGCGAGAGCTTGGAGATTCGACGTGTCATATTAATTCTTCTCGGCATATCGATGTAAAGGAGAAAGTATTTGTATCACGCACGAATCCAAAAATCGCGAGCATATTCTTGTTGTTGGTCTTGTCGTTCGTAGACAAAGAACAGTAGTGCGACATGAATTTTTTGGAACTTTAGTGCAAGTACGACATAAGTTTAGAAGAGAAGCACTTCTAAATGTGCATCTCTAATACTTTTTCGATGTACGAGTAAGCGTAGCGCCAACAGTGTTCTTTCCCTTTAATTAAATGCTAGCCACACATATCGGTGAAAAGACGCTTTACATGCCTCCGTATCGTTCCATGTATTCCGGAGTGAAATATCTATGTCCTCCGACTGGAATAATTTATTTCCTCTTTTTATCTTTGTTTAATTAGCTATATACAATATGATTCTGTATGTATCAATTAATGTATACAAGATAAGCCTTTTCCTTCGCTAATTGTGTACTATCCATTCTATTCGATGATTCTTGGCTCTTGTTATCTATTTTTAATATTTGATAAGTTTATTTTGGGCATTGGATAATTCTCTATCCAGTGATTCCTAACGAACTATTTGTTATATAGATGATCAAGATCGCGTTTAATCACATTTAATCGTGTTTAATCGTGTTGATTTCGTAATATTGTACAGACACGATTCAACCACCCCGTTGCCTTTAATTATATTTTTTATTATTATATTATTTCTGCCGATATTTTTTGGGACTTCAGTTTCCATCTTAACGAGAAGTTTACGTTGACGCAGTTAAAATCTCCAGGCTCGTATTCTTTGTAGTAGTCAGCGTAAGTGCTAATAGAAAATCTGAAGTTTTCCCTTAAAATGTTCAAAGTAATGATTGCATAATATAAAGATAATATATTTTTATATTATGCAATCATTACTTTGAACATTTTAAGAAGTGTAAGAATACCCCAATATTTCGAATTTTTCAAATATGTCTGACAAGAAAACACAAGCAAGTGTCTCGCTCCGATTGTAATAAGCTTTGAATATGTTAAAATATAGATAAAAGTAAGAGACGTGTATTTTTTTATAACTTGCTTAATCGCATGTTAAAGAAATGAAACTCTTCTTTTTGAAAAAAATTAATTTCCTTCTTTTTGAATGAATATCTGAACCATAAAAGATATAAAAATGTTTTAATTAAATAACTAAATAATTAAATAAAGCATATACGATTTATGTATCATTGACACATCGTTATATACTACATCAATATCGCACGCATATATACACGCACATACAAATTTTCTAACTAATCTTTTCTGTTAGGTATCCAAGTCTAATTCTAAGAACTTAATATTGTTTTTCATGTAATCCTTAGTCCAAATCAAGATTGTTTTATATGTATAAAGTATAAAACTTGTAAATACTTATATTTACGAATTAATGCCAGGAATCAATAATAAAGTTTCCAATTTTTTTTCGTTTCTGGCATAAAATTGACCTGTTTGGACCATTACCGTTTATACTTTTTTTGTGGAAAAGGAAAAAAATATTTATTTGAAAAATAATCGGTAAAACAGGTGATTTTAGGATCCCCTTAATGTGCAATTAAGCACTTATAAATGTGTGTGCGTGTGTGTCTTATTTTTATCTATATTTTAACATATCCAAAGCTTATTATAAAGTCGCAGCAGAACATTTGAATATATTTCCTTCTGAGTCGTTTTTAGGGGAACAGTGAGAATATGTTGCATATGCTCACATGCAAAGATCAAAGATATCTGTAATCTACTTTGCGAGGAAAAATCCACAAATATCGTCGGTTTTTCCTAGCTTCCAACTGTCTGTTTGTCAAAATGATGGCCAGGTGAAACTACCAGCGTATGTCGAACATTAATAATGTATATCATTTACGTAAAAGCGCTGCTGTAGTTCATGAGATAATGATCTTATCCTGGGTATATATCAATTACCCACATCACTAATTGGCTAATTTAAAATAATATAATCTCATTGGTGAAGCAGTGAAAAATTACTAGGAACAGGCCGATGTGAGTGGTGTGTGCAATTGAATTGTATTGCAAGTGCGCCGCTCCCTCTTGTCCTATGCATTAATAATAATAATAATAATAATAATAATAGTAATAGTAATAATGATGATGATAATAATATATAGACGCGTTTGTTCTAGATTTCTTCGAACAATATCGTACAAATGGCTCTGTTTTCTCTCTGACGCTTTGTTTACGAATAATGACGTCATGTAGACTCCGCAAGATCTTCCCTTTACTTAAACCAAAGCATAAATATTAAGTTTTCAAGCTCATACTGCATTTAATACTCCTTTCCTTCTTCTTTTATTTTCGTCGGCTTGTGTCGATCAGGCTCGTTCTTATGTTTCTGAAGAAACACATCTCTAACAACTACACATGTTACGAAACATGTAATGATTTTTGGAATAAATAGAGCCGACCGAAATTTCGCTTTTGGTCAATTTCAGTAAAAAATCAAAGTTTCGATTTGATTTCGGTTTCGGCTGAAATTAAGAGAAAATTTCGGTAAGTAAACCGAAATTGCAACGCGTCAGCGAGCATTCGAGAAACTATACGTTATCATCGATTGATCGGTGCCGATTGCTGCAAACTTCGCCAGTGCTTTCTTCCTTCTTTATCCTTTTTCCTTTTTTACTCGCCAAGACGCTACATATCTAGTGCCTGAAATTCCTTATAATTTATAGAAAATTCCTTATCATTTAAGGAATAATAAGATATTAATAAAATCTTATTTTTCAAAAAATATACAAATTTCACATATTTTGACATTTTCCAATGACTCCAAAAATCATATAGTGTTTGTAAGATTTATCTAATTTCGATTTTGGTTTCGGTTGAAATTTAATAAAAACCGAATATTCGTTTTCGGTTTCGGCTCGAAATAAAAAAGTAGTTTCGGTCGGATTCTAAATGGAGCATTCCGAGAAAATCCACGCAATCTCGATCGAGCGTTACTTTTCGAGTATGTATTTTGTATAAATATATATAAATAGAAGACATCATATTTACATATATCTGTATGAAAGTATCAGGTTTCAGAAGAGAAAGAAAGAGTGTTTAACTCGATTGACGTTGCTATCTGTGACTGTGCCAGAAAATATTATATGTAATATGCGCAGAAAGGATTGTGTTTAGATCTTGTATGCATTTTAGCATGTACTTTTCGAATTTCCGCTCATCTGTTAATAAACTGATGATAGATTATGTCATATTTCATTTTATGCGACGTGTAAAAGATTTTTATTAATGTTCACATGCGAGGATATCAATAAAATTAAACGTTAAAGATTTTTATCAATGTCTGCGTGTGGATATTAATAAAAATCATACACAAATTGTTCCAGTTGATTTTCAAAAATCTTACAAGGGGAAACACAACAAAATGTTTTCTTTCGATTTTAATAAACTTAAGATATGTTAAAATATAGAAAAAAAAAGAGACATGTAGTTTTTTCTAAATGCTTTTTCGCACGTTAAAGATGTGAAACTTTTACTTGAAAAAAGTTGATTTTTTTTCTGAGTAAATGTTGGTTAAATTATCACAGACATAAAAAAAAGTTTTAATTAAATGATTTTGAAAAGTGTTTTATACTAGGTGAGTTTTTTAATCAGAGACTGCAAAATATTCTGGAAAAACAAGTATTGTACGAAAAAATGTTCAAATAAACCCTCAATATTTTTGAAGGAGCAATCCTATCTCGCAAAAGTTAGCCGCCTCCCGCTCCCCCCTGGGGGTGGGGCTGGGGGTAACTTTGATTCGAATTCTACGTCCAAAAACACGTCAACTTTGTCTACACCTTTTTTTTTTAAACAAGCACTCCGAAGGGATTATAATTTCTGTCGTTAATCCCCCCTGAGTAAAGCTAAGAACGAATAAAAAGTTATCGGAGACATCTACGATAATTCGAAAAACATGTTCAAGATAAAAGTTTCTTTCTTCAACGTAGCATCATTGTGCAATAAAACATGGGGATTCCCCTTGAAGAAGACAAAAGTTAACCAATTTTCGCCGAATGCAGCGCCATCTATCAGGAATCAGAAAAAAAAGGTTTAGACAAAATTGACATGTTTTTGGACGTAGAATGTGACGTGTGAGAACCATGTAGAGCCGAATCTGCAATAAAAAGTAGGGGTTTCCATTTAAGATTTCAAAGTTACCCCCAGCCTCACCCCCAGGGGGGAGCGGAAGGCGGCTAACTTTTGCGAGATAAAATTACTCCCTCAAAAATATTGAGGGTTTATTTGGAACATTTTTTCGTACAATGCTTATTTTCCCAGATATTTTGTAGTCTGTGGTTAAAAAACTCACCCAGTATATAATAATGATAAAAAGTAGTTTTAACTTTTTTTTTATTAAAAAATGTTAATTTTCTTATGAATTACAATTTTTTAATAAAAATTTATTTAAAAAATTATAAAGTACTATTGAAACTTCAAATTTATTAAAAAATTTTTAATTTTTTTTATATCTGACGATATTCATCTGGGCAAAAAGATTTTTTCAAGAGGGGATTTCATTTAATGTGAAAAAATGCTTACAAAAAACTAAGTGTCTTTCATCGCGATCCCCCCGTATAAGGCACGAATATACCGCCGCGGTGACTAAATCATTACGTAGACTGCGTATTTTTAATAGGAAATCGACGATTGCATGCGTGCGTGCGTGCGTGAGTGCGACATAAAATGTGAATGTAAAGTTTTCTTGTCTGTTTCTTGTATATAACGTGCCGATTTTTCTCCATAGATTTTAGCGTAATCGGATGTAGTAGTAGATCTCTGACAAGAAAGGAATCTTTCCGAAACGCGCATATGCTTCCTATATCTAAGACTGAAACTGATATCGCGCTAGGCATGTATTAAAAACGAAATTGCTTCTTTTTCTTCCTCTACTTTGAATTCACGTTAAAGTGTACCCGCGTAACTTCGAGATGAAGAGAGACACTACGTTCGTATACTTATATCGGCGACTTTTATTTATTTCGGCACGGAAATCGGTAGAGTTAACAAAATTATTTATACCATTTATGCACGGACGAAAAACATTGGGAAATGATACTTGTCAATTACGAGCGCGCTGTAAATTAAAAAATTTTTATGTAAAAAAATTTCCATTTTTTTAAGAAAAATGTTTTTGTAAAAAAATCAATTTGTTTAAAATAAAATTCGATTCGCCGGAATTATGCGGTAAAGTTTTAGCCTGCTCCAACCGGATTAATTGATTATGCGTTCAGTGCAGAAAGCAATTTTGTAACTGTTGTAGAATATTTTAATATGATTAGTCTTGCCTTTAGTTTCTCACTGGATCTAAATGTATAAATCAATGATATTAAAGAATTTTACAATAGCAATTTTAAAGCAAAGCTGCTTTCTCTGCTGAACGCAGTTATTTATAGTTGCTTTCCATTTACATCAACTCACATAATTCTCATTTATGATGTTATAACTCAGTTGAATACGGCACATACATATCTTTTTATTCTGATAAGTGAAAGTTAACTAAATTTGTACCTATAATTTGCACAAGCTCGTGCTTTCCTTTTTAGGAGACACAGAGAGAATCGAGGGAGAGTGGAGCGGATAGTGATTCTCTTTTCTGATTGGTTCCGCCATTTGTAGTGCAACTTCCGCAAATGTGCGTGTATGTACATATTATATATGTCATATATACAATACTAATGCAGTACAATATGGGTGCATTTGTTTACGCAGCGGTTAGCGCAGAGTATCATTTAATCCGCAGAGATGAGTCTGAAACAGAAGTAAAAGAAAAGGGGTTGTAAATCCCGTAACCATGAATAGCGTGAAACCTAAGCCGATCTTCAGGTACATGATAAATGAATACGGAACTTTGCCTGAGCCGCTCATCAGCCCCGTAAAATGTGAGGTGTGAATTATTATCTGGGATCGTTCATCAGACATTTTGGGAAAGATGTATACGAGTTTATATTGATAATGATCGTGTGACTACCCAGAGTGTATCGTCAGGTAGACCTATCCAGATCTTCGGACACCCACTGATGGTAGCGATCCACATGATTAAAAAGATGAATGTGATGAAATTCATTCAAGTTGATACAGATAATGAACACCAAATTAATAGATTAACAAGTTTCAAAACATCCCTTCTGAGGATCTATTCCATTAATCTACGAAAAATGCACACTCACCTAGTTACAATCAAGTGTTGATGCAGACTGGCCCAGGTGACTAACACTTTCGTTTAAATACTACCGGTACCTAGCTTATTCTACTAGAGCGCAAGCGGAAGCGGAGAATCAGACAGCTCGGCGACAAGCCGAACGATACTAAATTTATCATTTAACATTTGTGCTTCTTTTTTCTCTGTTTATCTTTTAATTCGCTATGATTTCCATATAAATTGGTACATATTACATGTATGTAGAATATGCAGCAGATGATTTATTACTAGTAAACATTTTTCTAAAACATAAAAGTATATAACATCGCAATTAATTGCTAATCTGTAGAGTTCGAAAATGATTATACTGTTTGCGGGCACTACGTATGTGCTTGTGGTACTTCGCGCATTACATGGCAAGTTTGTACAATTATTTAAAAAATGTGGCACCCGTATAATCTCATCAATTAGACCGCGCTTTACAAAAAAATCATATACAATTATAAATTCATAATTAGAAAAACTATGTACAAACTTTTGCGTGTATGGTATATATAAAAATTATAGATTGCAATCGATTTGATCCGCTTAAAAAAATAACAGGTACAAAGTATAAATCGTTGTATGAATAATATTTTACCACGTGTTTATGTGGCACTTTCATTTAAGAATCTTTTGCGGTGTCGTCCGTATCACAGTCTTTGCCATCCTGCATCGTTTGTCCCTGTAGAGCGCGACGTTTTTGCAGACGTGCACACCGTGGGCAGCAATGATTGCGCTTGGCCCAACAAACGCGATGATGCACTGCCGAGCATTGCTGACAGATAACCGAGCTGGCATCCCATGGATAGATTACCTCATTATTGCCACATATTTCGCATAAGTGTCCCCTAAGAGACAAAAATATTTCTTTTAAACTTATTATGGTATTAAATAGGATTCTCTTGTATTAATCTTAATCTTACACACACACACACACACACACACACACACACACACACACACACACACACACACACATATATGCACATATCTAACATTCTTGGTAAAAATAAACATGCTGTTATATTGCTAAAAAACGTAGACAGTAGTTATAATTAAATTTCCAATTATCGCGAATAAATACACACATACTCACACACATTTATAAATATATCGTATAAAAAAGCTGACGTCAGGATTGAACCATATAGTAGAAAAAATATACAGTCATTAATTTTAATTCTAATTGAAATTATTGGAAGTCTTGAAATTTAATACACATTACATTAATTAAAATGTACCACATGTAAAATTTTATATTATTATATAAATACTATGCTATATGTGTATTAAGTTCGAAAACAATCGATAATGGTGAGCCTTGACATATGAATTCATCAATAAAAATTCATCATTAAAAGTAAGTTATATAAATGAATATCAAAAAAATATATTCTTTCTCTTTTTAAATATTTACCTTGCCTTGCAGAGCTCGCATTGCTGCGTAATGTGCGCGTGCATCGTATCGTACGCAGTACGAAGCTCGTCCAAAAGAATACCACTTTGAAGATCGATGAGATCCTTGATGGAATAGTTACCCGAATTTTCGATCATATGTGTGCGCAACCCAATTCTCCACGGTAATCCCTGAGTGCAAGCTTCCACGCATAGAACTAAATATTTCTTCATCATCTGCATTTCCTCTCGCATTCGCTAAAATGTAATAGTAACATATCTCAGTATCTATCTAGATAATATTATCATTTAATTAAATGCACATATTAATTAAAATAGCTATTAATTACATATTAATTACACAATTATTAAATTAAATTAATTAAATTATTAAATTAAATCTGTAAATTAATATTACATATTAATTAAAATAATATTTAATGAAGGAGAAATGATTTTTTAATGTGATACATTGATTGCATATAATGTGTAGTATAATAAAAAAATATAATTCAAATTTCTTTTAATTTCATTTTGATAAAAAAATAGACATTTGATTTGCGATGCATAACTTATATCTAATAATTTTTAATTTAGTTACTCTAATATACGTGTTTTATAATTATTATATATACAGAGTGGTATGTTTGATACTTACCTTTACAAGCGATAAATCCGGAACTAAGGTAAAGAGTTTCGGGTTTAATTCTTCTAGCGGTAGTACGGAACGATCCTCCAAAAGCATCAAAAGCTGCACTGCGGCGCGAGACACCAGACGCGGCTCCATGTCCCAATTTCTGATTACTCTCGCGGGAATGACCATGGCTGTGTTCCAATGGCATCTTTGACAGTAATATAAACCGCTGTAGTCGCAAAGTCGAGGCTCTACCCACGCTGATTCTAGAAGTGTCACTATTTTGATTATCAGATTGTATATAATTATAAATATCATGATTTAAGAAATATGTATCTATGAAAAAATTCTACATATCGTCAATTTAATGAGAAATTATAATTTCCGTAAATATTTGGTAAAAGATACAAAAATGTATTCAAAATATCCCAAAGTATCTTAATACAGTTACACATGACAAAGTTGAAGTAATAAATGAAGATATAAGATATTTATATTGAGGTAATAACGTGTTTTTGCACAACATTTTAATGTATTAGTATAATACATTGCTATTAATATATTAGATACCTGCATTCTTAAAGGAATTGCCGAAGCAGGATAACGATAATCCTTTTGAGAAAGCTTGCAGGAGGACAATAGATTCATTATCATTATCATAATTTTATAGAATATTTTAATAATTATCGAAGGAATAGAATAATTAACAAACATTAAACAAATATGACAATCAAACAAATAGTTCATTTATGTACTTATTTACAATTAACAAAATACTTTTTAATCTGATCTATTAAATACTTACTGAATGTTATTCGCACTTTACATTCCGCGCAACGGTAGCCTTGCTTCGAGAGACCTTGCTCCGGACAGATATCCTTCGTGTGCGTGTATCCGCCAGCTTCACTTGCGACTACATGCACGCATACACGACACACATTGTTCAGACACTTCCAGTGGCAACTGAATTTGCAATCTGAATAAATAAGTAACAATAAAAATAATAATTGTAATATAAAAAAGGCCGTAGGAGTCAACGCTGGTTATAATTAGCGATAAATTAAATAATGATCAAATATATTATCTGATACATATGTAAACCTTGTACGTTTCAATTCTATTTTGAGTCATCTTTAGCAATTTAATCCATCCATCAACGCAATGAAAAGATATTGCATCGCAAAATAATATCTCCACAATCCATGCATGCAATGATGTGGCTAATCATGAGGTGAGACCCATACTCAAACAGTTACAAAGCTGAGTGGTGATGAGCAATTCAAACTCGCATGTTCATCACACACATTCCGTACAAAGTACATCTTACAAAATCTTACAATGAAAATTATGTCTACACTCGTTAACATGTTAAAATTTAAACGTGAAAAATTAAAAAGAACAGAGTGTCTAGTCAATTGTAAGTTCGGTCAAATAATTCGGTGAATAAATAAGATGTATTTATAACAGAATTGGCATATTTTATGCTGTTTTTTTTAACAGACGTTGTTAACAGATGTATTTGTAACAAAAATTTAATATTTTTTTGCATAAAATTTAGCGGTAAAAATCGGTATTTTCCAGAAAAAAATCGACAAAAATTGGTCTCTTTTATTATAAAAACGATAAAGTAAGTAGAAAATCTTTACTCTTGAATAAAACAGCTCAGATTTATATTAGTAAAAATTTTCAAATGTATTTACTCTATTACATTTTTCTTATTAAAAACTAATATAAAATTTTATAATATTTGTATATATCTCTGAGCGGTTTTTGTTTTAAAAATATATTTCACATACTAATTTCAATTTACCCTGGTTGAGGTAATATTTTTCACAATAATTATTTATAGTTTACAAATTAAACACAATGTATTAGGCTCCAACGAATAAAATTTAAACAGTCAAATTATAAAGGCAAAGAAGCTACGCTTGATGTTCGTGCTATACAATATTTGTATATGAAGTGGACCTGATGAAATGGACTGCAAGGTTCACGAAACGTTGGCATTCCAAGAATGGATCTGGACACGGAGAAAATCCGCGAAACGCATAATTTTTATACAGAAAGCACCCGTAGAAACCTCAAGAATATATTTATCTTATTTAAAAATAATAAAATTTGTTCTTGTTCAATTTAATTCTTATTTTAAATGCAAAATTTTTGGGATATTTCAAGTAACGTAAACAGGCCTAATAAAAACAGAAATTTACTATGGTTTTTTCTACCTATTAGACTTTTCAACCAATTTGTAATCGTAATAAAACAACAATCATCAAAGATACCATTTAAACTCATTGGAAATTATGTTAATCACCACAATATATGTCAGTTCAGACAACAATCTAGAGCTAAATAGTTAAATATTTACCGTTGCACATGTACCACGACTGCAGCATCGTCCAAATCGCGCCGCTGCAATGGTCGCAATAAACCGGACTAGACGTGGTAATATAGTACTTCTGCGGCACAAAATGATGACCGAGAATTACGCGCGTCTCAAAGAGATTTTCATCTGAAGTCTCACGCAATTCTTGCACGCGCAAACGCAATTCAATCAGCCGTCGAACGAGCCATTTACGCTCATCCGAACATTCGGCACTCTCCAACACCATCAGTTTGCACTTGCGCACCATTTCTTCAAGATCTTCCTCAGAAGCATCCTAGGTAAAACAATCATTTCCATTATTTTCTCTAGTATTCATTTGTAACAAGATAATATTGTATAACAATACTGGACAAATTCATTTATAGCGAGTTCAGTCACTTGCATTACACAAGAGGCCTGCTCTTTTTAACTGAACTTTTGCATCAGTTTATCTTTCTGCCTTTTCTCTTCAGGAGGAACGAAGAAGAAAGATGAACTGGTTTCCCTTCAAATCACGCACAAATCTTTTGTCTTTTATTAAAGATTTCTGTGGAGGAGAACAATTAATGAATCAATAGACCAATTTTTTGTGCCAAAAGTCCAGCCAAAAACAACAGACCTTAGATTAGTGTATACTAAAAGCTGTTGTACATGAAATTAGCAAAGTAAATGTAAAAGCATGTGAATATTTTGAACAATTAAATACTCAATAATATTATTTAATAGAATATATATCATATATTATTTCATTGTTGATTATATTATGCCACTGTATTTAGATCAATACTCATACTTGATAAGTCCGTTTTTATTTTTAGACCGTCTTAAATAATGTCTTAAGTAATGATGCTAATACAATTGTCTGGGCGCAATTCATACTTCATAGTAGTTTCTTATATTTAGGACTATCTTAAGCATAGCCTTAAGATAAACCAATCAGAAGGGTGCGTGCGTGCATGCGTGCTAGCATCTAAGATATTACCTAAAACGATTTTGAAGAGAAATATTATTTTAAATTATACTTTATATATACCTTAGATAATGACAGCATGGTCTCTACTGATTTCAAGCTGAATGGTATGGTACTCTTACTGTCAGAGCTATCGTCTGCCTCCCCCGTCATGTAATCGGAAGAGGATGATGGTGTTGACGTTCCTGTGCCAGAACCTCGACCAAAACTGTTCGCTCGTATCCTTGACTCGTAATGTGAGTCGTTCTCTCCGATGGGAGGATTGCTCTTTATATCTACCATTTTCTGCACAAAATACTAAAAATGATTAAAAAAGATGTGTTATATTTATTTTACAAAAATGAAGCTCATTTCACAATATCACAATATTTATTTGACAATCCTTGATGAGAATTTTAAATCATAATTTCATAATTTCATAATTTTTAAGTACAGAATTTCTAAAGCTTTATAACTAGACATCGGATTCTTATGCAATTTTATACTTTTTTTAGAAAGCAGATTGGAAAGTAACATAAAAATAGAAATTTGTCTCATTATAAAAGCATTCTAAAAATGCATATTTATTTGTGCATATTGTGGATATTTACATAGTTATGCAAATTTGAATATTTTGTGCACGCTGCATACTTAATACGACGAGAGACACCGTACCAGAGAAATTGTTAAGTTTTGTCGTCTCGTCCTAAAATTATAATTATGTACAAATAACTATCGTTTACAAATTTTTACTGTGTAATGATTGAACTTATTTTTGACGTGCTCCTGACGTGATTCTCCACATCATATTCCTATAAGTTATACTATTGATTCTAATTTTGAATCATTAATTATAAGGTCAAATACATACGTCAGTGATCATCCAGTCGTCAAACTGGCATGGAATTTCAGTGTACGAGGATAATCACAGGAGGAGACTTATATTTGGTTATATATTACTGTTCGCTGAAGATGACTAGAAGTCAGCCGAAACGTTCGAGGAATAAAGAAACAGTATAATTTGAAGATATTGTTACATTAATTCTTGCACACTTATTACAGCAGCTATTCCTAATCGCCCTTTAATATTTTTCTTCCGTAAAAAACATCACTAACCTCGTAACGGCGCGAAAAAAAAGGAACTGAAGGAAGAATACATACCGCCTTTACTATTACTTGACGCTCTTTGAACGAAACTACATAAGTACGCAATACTTTTAATTATCACTGTTCGTTGCGTGAAATTCAGCAATAAATTGAGTTAACAATAGATAAAAGCGGATAAAAACTCTTATTTCATTTCGATAGATGATTTTTTAGGTTATGCGCGTCATGAACACAGTATAAGTAAGAACAGTAGGTACACTCAGTTAAAAATAGTGGCTACCGTTCTGCACAATTCAGCACAATTTTCAACATTGCGCACCAATCAGTTTCCTTATTCCCTAAGATTATTCGCTCTTATTGGTGCCACGCACAATTTGCAACATGGCCGAGTAGGACATAAAGATCAATGGTCTGTTTTTTGTTCCTGCACTAGACTGTTCTAGAACTCTCTTTCTCGCTTTAAACAAATATCTATCTCATTTTTAGTTCCAAAAGTGTACACTAGTTCAGTCACAGAAAACAGACCTCAAGGCTCAAATGTGCCGACACAGAGTGTACCTACTGTTCTTAAGCTGGAAACACAATAGACACAGGCAATAGGCACAGGCAACAGGGAAAAACGAGCCGTCCAATCAGAGCTCTGGGATATAATATCGAACTTATACCCCAAA